TCATGCTACCTGGGAGATTTTAATACATCTATTTATTTATTTATTTACGGCCAAAATTCTTAAAATGTAGAATTGCTATACTTCACCATAGAGAGTATATGCACTTAGCACCAATATATTATTAGAATTTCATTGACTCATATCAAACAACCTTGCCGAAAATTATGATGTTTCATGAACCATCGACATAAATTCCACAACACACCCTATATCATGCCAAAACCATGCCCATGTGCAAATTTGTGGACTCGCTAACAATAACACCTCTCTGTCATGACAACTTGTAGGCTCAACAAATGTCACGAGGATGAACATATTCTTTCCAAAAAATATTGTTGTTTTTGATGGAGAAGAAGATACATTGTTAGCGATAAAGCCAATTTTTCCATTTATGAAATCGAGTGATTAGCCACCCGCTCTAATTTTGGATATTTTCTTAGGGTGCCCAAACTATCCACGTTGCAAAAACATGTGCTAATTTTTTTTTCTTCGAATCCTTGCTCAATTCATACTGGTCAAAATATCATTGACTTCCACTTGGCACAAGCCAAAATAGATACTTCCGTCAAACTTTTCCACATCATATGAATGTATTTTATGTACCCATCACTTTGAACGACCTAATTTTCTTATATCGTTGGTTATTAATTTTTGCTTTTTTCATTTAAGGCAAAAAACTGAACTCCTATTATATAAAAAAATCAATGAAGCAATATAAATTAATATCCTACAATGATATCCTCTTGACTCTCTTTCTATAAACATTACTCCAATCATACATTAAATAATTAGATAAAGACTAAATGATCTTTTTCCCTTACAATACCTGCATCTCTTATTTTTTAAACAGATTCTTCGCATAGAATCACGGAATTAACGAATAGGGCATTCCCAAATATTTATCTCATATGTAAACTATTCTTTAAAGAAAATACTCAAGCGGGCTCAGTTACTTATCGAACAAGGTGACGAATTTTGAACGCAAACACAATTTCACTACTTCAAATTATATTGGCTCCCAACATAACAAAGTGATGACCATGATAAACTAATCCCACTCTTTGACATATCAAAGGATTTCAGATTCATGAATAGGAACCACTATCACGTAGTGAATTTACATAATCTATAAGATAGTCAAATATGATTATTTCCTTTGCACATTCTGCCATAAACTAATCAACAATTGATTTAGTTCAATATGCTTTTAGGTGTATTAGTATCATTACTCCCGAATGAACAATCGTCACTATCAAGACAAATGACATATCTCAATTGATAAAGTAATTGAAGCTTTGACGCAAATAGAGTGCCAACCTCTATTAGCCACTGTTGGATAAATATTTGTCTATCGATATATAAATATATTTTCTGCACTTCTCTAAGTAAGTATATAACTCATAATATCACAATGTAGTAGATGTCCTCTAATCACCTACTCAAATTACAATGAACAATCAAATCGAAATAACTAAATAATATATATTATATAGATAAACTAAAATGTCATACATTATAGTGGGGTCCCATCTTAAAATGTCAACATTATTAAGAAGAGTAGCTCAAAACCTTTTTAAGTTAGTTAATATTTCGGTATTTAACTGATGTGGGATTTTTACCCGTTAACATGCCTCCGCAAGATGGTGGCTCGTTTGAGCAGATCAATCTTGAAATTCGTTTGCTCATTTTTTTAGTTTTAATTGGATCGAATTGCTCGTTGGAGTTTAATGGATTCTAATACCATGTTAAGACTTGAGATTCGATCTTAAAATGTTAACATTATTAAGAGAAGTAGCTCAAAATCTTTTTAAATTAGTCAATATTTTGGTATTTAACCGATGTGAGATTTTTATCCCTTAATAGTTATGTTGGACATTATTGAGCATCTATATCAGCAATTTGACACTGACATGTTGCCGTTTCTTCTTGAACAAAAAAAAAAAAAAAAAAAAAT